TATAAAAATTTGTTGAGTATTTACAGCGACTGTTAATATATAAAATAGAAAACAGAAAAGAAAGAATGATATAGTTATGGTATTATAAATTGGATAGCTGACCATCGTGAATACTAATCATTGGTATATTTTTCCATTTCCGGAAAGATTGTATGAACTTTTGGGTAGCTGTTTTTTTACAACGTTTTAATTATATCATTGCGATACGTCACCATACAACAATTAACACTAATTAGTTTGTAGTTCAAGGAAGTTAAGCGCCTTCGTCGAGAGTCAATAAGATTCACAGTGCTGAACACAATGGACTTCATACAGGACTTCTTTTAAAAATACGACATTTTCAGGAAATTGTAGTTACCATAAATTTTATTTTTTTTTGTCGTAAATACCTTATCAATTGTAGTTTCAACATGATCGTTGAACGAAGTCACGCACAACTGTCGGGTTTCAATAAATTATTAAGGCATTTTCTATATATATATATATATATATATATTTTTTTTTTGTGGATTGAAATCTACTAACCGAATAACAACATACAGAGTGAACCCTTTGTTCTACGTTTGAAACGTTTCATTTTTTTATTGTTATAAAACACGCCCACTTGGTTACACAGAGTTGTACAGGGTGTACCTTTTTACAGCTTCTGAAAATTTAATTAATTAAAAATAACGGATTTCGCCTACGTCGTTTTTCGTAGTGGTTATTTTGTTCCCGATCAATCTTGCTGATATGAAACTTTCTGCAAAATCTGTCTATCCTTGGCACATCTTAATATTTCAATAGATCTACTAGTAAGAAACAAACAAGGAGTCCAGAAGGACGGCCACTATCTGCCTACGTATAACAGTATACACCCAGGATACTGCGAATACGATGTTCTATCATTTGTTGTTATAATACAGCTGATTTGAAGATTTTAACATTTTCTGATGTGATAAAATGTACAAGAAGATTTGTGATTTACATACTGTTCTGACAAACCGTACACGACAAGTTACAATTTAAAATTGCTGTACTTTATATTTTGACGAAGAATACTTGTCTAGTAATTATCACCGTTGATTGATGCTAATAGGTCATGTTTCTGAACTAATATGTCAACAGATAATGCACATGTTTGGGATAAATATATGTACAAAAGAAAGGGAAGCCACCTAAAGGCAGGATGCTGTATCATACAACTGACTCGTCATTAATGCTCAGGGTCTGTTCTAACATGGGCGGTGATAGAGGGAAACAAACATTGATTGAAAGAAATGTAAAATATTCTACGGGAAGGAAGGTACAATAGCAAAGAAGTTCCTGTTAACAAATCGTCGTTGCCAACTACTGTTAAGGTTTGTGGATTTTATTCAATTTAATGTAGTTATGTAGAAATTGCTAAATAACCATAAAATAAAAAATATATTTATCTTATTATAGGTCGTTTGACGTGATGTATGTATATAGCTGATAATTAGGTAAATGATATTAACAGGTATGGTATAGTTAAAGACAACACAGAAAATGAGCATTGTTGCTTATCACTAGGATAATTAATTATATGTTTTATTATTGTAATCCACGGTGTTTTAAACTTTACAGCCTTGTGTGTTACTCCACAACAAATCTGTAAAAAGACATACGGATGAATTAAGACTTAAAATATAGATAGAAGAACAACACTTCAAACAACGAAAATATAATTATTTTGAGTCCATGTTTTAAGACATGTTTTCACACGATGACGTAAACGGTTAATTCACTTCAGCCAATAACACACAATTCTGTTATCCAATGAGATAGTAGCCGACCCAAGGACAACGTCCTTTTGTCTGCTAGTTCGTATCGGTGTTCATTTTCCATCATCATTTTATCGATGATCACGTGAAAGTATTGGGATAATAATACTATTAATCTAACCCAGTTATGCCAACTGTCTACGATTTATTGTCGATTGTGAGAGGGACAGGAAACTTATTAATCCAATGTATGTTTGTTTACATATCATTTATTCTGTCACTGTTTACTACTCCATTCTCCTGTGTCTTTAATATTGAGTGTAATAAAAGATTTAATATCTTATGAAGAATTCCGTTCTTGTATACAGATAATTGGTACAGAGAATGATCAGTTAGTTGGGCCGCGCTCAACTTTAGAAGTAGAAGGATGGGGATTATTTAGTGGGGGTGGGGTGGGGGGGGGGGGGGGGGGGGGGTAATTAGTGGATAATTCGTTTCCAATTGACGAGGTTAGTAAGCTCGATACAATACTACACACACTGATTCTGCACCATTAAATTTGTCGTGTACCAATTAATTAGATGGCGATACAATAATTTTGCCAGAAAAATACCTGATTTTCTTGGAAGTAACAATTGTTTAAATCAGGTAAAGTATTCCGGATAGACAATCTGTTCGTTTTTATCGATTGACCAAGTCGTAAAATGATTTGCTCTAAGATGAGTTTTTTTATCGTTGCCCTGTAATTTAGTTGGATCTCCGCCCTTTACCCTATCCACTGACAGAAACACGAAAAATAATTCCTGTAGTGAGATAAGGATAATGTGTCATCATACACTTGTATGTATCATTATCAGAAACAAATTAAACAGAGTATGGACTTAATTATTTTAAACCCTCTGAATTAATTTCAGCATTATATTATGACCTTACAATTTTATTTTTCCACGGAAATTATAAAGCGTTGAAATAGGATTAAAGTATCAGTTAGTGATGAAAAATAGATCGATGACATTGTTGTTTTGTACCAATATTTAATTCGACATGCTTAGATATAATGCAGGTCAGATTTCAGTTGCTGAATCTAGGCAGTGTTTTATACAACTGGATAAACAAAAATATAGTATATTTATATAACTAAGTTAGAAAATACTTGTTTCTTTCATATAGCTATCTGTTCAAGAAGGAGCTTAAATCAGAATATCAGAATGTGTGATAGTGTAATGTGGCTGCAACATTACACAAGTATCGTAGATGGTATTTTTAGACAGGGATGAACACAGATGGTAAATAATGTATATCAGGAGTGAATGATTCATCCAATCACGGAAGTGGAAGGTGAAAATTGTAACATATATGTGGGACGAAAGAGGGAATTTAGTATTTCTTTTTATATTTACTTTGTGCCTGCTCATCGGACAAATCGGGTCTTGAAATCATGTATTCAACCTTTGGAAAGAAAAGAGAATTATATCAATCACAGGTGACTCATTTTTCATTAAATACGTTTTATAGCATATAAGGCGTTATAGAAGTATGATGCCGATTATAACGAATGATGTTGCATCATACAGCCGCTTTGTCCTTCTAGAGCTCGCCAGTGATGCCACTCGCCACATCATCTAGTCGCTTTGTCCTTCTAGAGCTTGCAAGTGATGCCACATCATACAGTCGCTTTGTCCTTCTAGAGCTTGCCAGTGATGCCACATCATACAGCCGCTTTGTCCTTCTAGAGCTCGCCAGTGATGCCACATCATACAGCTGTTTCGTCCTTCTAGAGCTAACGAGTGATGCCACAAGAAAACGTAAAAATTGGACGGAGAATAGGAAAGCTAAAATCATATCGCTGTTTACTTTGTTGAGAATTATTCTCGAGCAAATGACAAGAAAAAACATGTAAAGCATCTTTATATAATGTACAAAATCAATCCCTGTGACAGACCTACCATTTATACACCGGGATTGCTAAGGTATACTTTGATCTGACTAAGATAGGTACTTTTTCATTATTTCTGCTTAATTTAAAGTCATATACTATAATTTCATTGCACTCGAGTAATGACAGATTCTGGTTGTCATCAAGCATATTTATTGTTATATTAACTACAAATATTTGCTGTTTCATGCCAATAATAGTATTGTATATGATAATATTTCCTTACCAAGAATTTTACAATAAACATATTGTATTAATACTTACCATATTTTATCTTGCATTATTACCATTTCTTTTTACTATTTGATAAGTAAACATCATGTATTTACCTTGATATATATTTATATATATATTTGATATCTATGTTACTATATATATTTATTGTATTGATACTGATATTTACAGCATCATATTACAATATAATGTTTGTAAATACATTGTATTTATTCTTACAAATATGTTAAGAAATATCATAACTTGAAAATGGACGTGATATATACACACACAAATATGGTATGCTCAATCTGTAATTTTATACAGCATTAAAACTGTACAATCAATGCGCTATGTAATTTAATTAAAAATTAAGAGTATCAAAAGGCTTTATTTGATATTTTACAGTTTTGTGACAAGGAAGACTTGAATTTATGATATAACTTAAATTCTAAAAAAACGTTAATACAAAAGTCGAAAATTACACGTAATAAATAGAATCTGGCATATTTACTACTAACATTAACTAATTAAGGAAAGTGATTAAAACCAATCAAGTAAAGAAAATCTATTACAATAATGAATTAAAAACGATGGTCCATACAGACTAGTGAGGACAACCTCGATCCCATAACTCACACGGATGTATATTTTATTTGTATATTCTTTCTTTCTTTCTTGCTATTTGTAAAACTCTGTATACAGAGTCAGGCGTCCACCATCAGACACACAATACACGGTCTCGTACTGTATTACAGGCACGTTCCTTAGCGAGAGAGCAACACTATTTTATAGTTCGATGTGTATCTACACATAGTAATGCGTTTCATTCTCATTATAGTAAAGTGGATAGTTTATTTAAAAAATCACCCATATCTTATGGTTATAGTATCAAGTATAAAAGTATGACAGATACAGTTCATAAACAACAATAGTGATCACATCAGGTATATGAGAAAGGACAATTACCCGTAGTGGGGCCACGCCCTTTAAGATTGTGGAACAGCCTCTCATGACGATGCGGCCAATCACGGCTCGTCACCCGACATTGTCCTCAATCAAAAGCATTTGACATTGTAAATATTATTGCAGTTATCTCAACACGGCATATCGGACTGCGCTGTGCCAGACGACTCGACATCAACAAGGAACGGTGATGATGGACACGGCACCCAGCCTCGACCCCTCGGGCCTGAGCCCCGACCCAGTAAACTGTGCCACGGCTATCCTGAGCGTGTCCACACACAATGATTCAACTGGAAATGGAAGCAATGTTACCATGACGAGGGATGTTTCATCTACCCACAGTACCGATACACTTAACGGATCGGGGGACAACACACAAACTTCAAACCCCGCCTCACCATCCTCTGCAACAACCTCGGAACTTTTATCAGGCAAGAATCTGACTTTTTCGCCTGAGCAGGTGGCATGTGTATGTGAGGCTCTTCAACAGAAAGGTGATATTGACAGATTGGCCAGATTCCTGTGGTCACTACCTCCTAGCGAACTCTTAAGAGGTAGTGAGGCCGTCCTCAAAGCCAGAGCAACTGTTGCTTTTCATAGAGGAAGCTACAGAGAACTCTATGCAATCTTAGAAAGTCATGAATTCCATGACACCAATCATTCTTTTTTACAACAACTTTGGTACAAGGCTCATTATATGGAAGCTCAAAAAATTCGCGGTCGACCTTTGGGTGCTGTAGACAAGTACAGACTGAGAAGGAAATACCCTTTGCCAAAAACGATTTGGGATGGAGAGGAAACTGTATATTGTTTCAAGGAGAAATCTCGTCAGGCTTTAAAAGAGTGTTACAAACAAAATAGGTACCCAACACCAGACGAGAAGAGAAATTTAGCTAAAAAGACAGGCTTGACTTTGACACAAGTCAGTAACTGGTTCAAAAATCGCCGACAGAGAGATCGGACCCCGCAGCAACAAGCAGTAACGGGGTATGTATATCAGAAAAGAGAATATTAATGTACAGTCGGGGTGTTATTTTCAGTACAGTGCAGTCTACCCACGGTGGTTATAACATCATAAAAGTTGCATACGCAATACTGGCTACGAGGGAGCCGGTTGGGGTAATATACACCTTTTATGTGTGGAAATATTTAAAAATTTCCTATCTAGATAAACCCCATGTCATTATTTTATGAGCAATTTATTCACTTCCCCGGCACAAATGATATTAACATGAATATCATGTTTCACGGACCAGTATCAAATGTTGGTATTATATTTTAAAGTGAATGCATTAATTTTCAATCGGCGACACACCGATAGCCCTGGTGTTGTAATTAACTGGGCTAAATAAACCTGTCCGACGTAACAAGTGTGAAAACGGAAGGACTAACCTATACTTTCCACACGTTTAGCAGCAGTTCAAATTTCATTAGAATTTTTTCAGAAATCCTTTAAGATAATTTAAATAATATAAACACGGAAACTAAACATATTTTCATGTTTTTTACTGTGTGGTCTTAAACAAACGCATGAAAAATAAAGCAAAAATGACGCGACAATCTATAAACATCTCAGTTGTATTGTACAAAGGACAAGGATATCGTTTAACTTTGTTACCTCAGTGTTTTCTTTTTAAGAATATCAAATGGCTTCCCGGTTTGAATAATAATTAAATGTAAAATTAATTGATGATAAACGAATTTACTTATCCCGGTAGCTTCTTTTGTTATAAAGGAATTTAGAAAACCTTTAACATATATAAATGTGACTGTATATGAAGAGATGAGATTGTAACATTTAATACAGGAAACATGGCAGTCCTCAATACTTATACTTACTTAAGATTTTTCGAGCTAAGATATCCCAACTCAAGTGATGACCGTAACACATAGCAAAGTGACAGGGGACCTGTCAGAATACCCGGTGACAATTCTTAAATGTCTGAATTTTTTCAAATATGAAAACATTATACACATGCTGACATCTGATTAGGGACTGAGTCGTCCATATTTTGAATTTCGAAAATTCAATTAAAAGTAAATATAAGAGAGTTAAATGGAGTGGTGCGTACCACTACATGGCCCGTCTACAGCCGTCTGTAGCTTATTGTTGTTCTGTGTAAATTGGGGCTTATAAGAAAGACCTTCATATTAAAGAATAAAACCCAAGTGCTCGTCACTTGTGTCGCCGGAATGACTCTCATTGATAGAAAGTGGACGTAGACGTGGGGACAATTGTGGAAAGATATTTTGGTGATTAAGAACGAAAATCTAATTGAGAACGAAGTGTGGAATGTTTTCACGCCATAAACTAATGTCCTTTTAAGTTAAGCTGCGCCCATATCAACTTAGTTAGATTAGGGGGAGAGTACACGTGACACAACAAACTAATCAAACAAAAAGGTATTTGATTAGAGAATTCCTAAATTACTTAATCATACACGTACGCATCTGAAATATTTCATGTCGCGTTTATATTATACAACCAATTAATATGTATTTTCCGATAATTACATTCCGTAGATAATCAGTTGTTTTATTTTTCTTTCTGTACATATCCGCCGTAACCAATACAAAAACAAATTACATTTGCACGACATCTTCTATGTTTACAGGATGTGAAACTACATTCCAGTTAATTTTTACTTTCATTAAAAATCCGTGCAAAATGCACATTTTACTTGCTTGCACATTTTAGTACGTTTGACATTTTTGTCTTGTTATAGAATGTTGCCTTCTGTTAAAGTACCTCAAAATATTTGTAAAATGCCACCATACAAGGATATCAATGCAGGTTTAGTAAATTAACTTCTTTCGCCGTAAAATTATTTATAAATCTTGATATTTCCAATCCAATTTACTCTATTTCTAAAATAGTTGTAAAACGAAAATAACGGCTAACACAAATCTGACATATAAAACAAAGAACGACATCAAACTATTGCTTATAGTTTTTAAACTTTTATTTGTAAATGTAGAAAAAGTAAATATATAAAAATTCTACAATTTCAACAATTAATTTGATTTTCATCAAGCGTTATTATAATACTATTTCTATTTTGATGAATAAACGAAAATCATTCCAACATGAATATGTTACTGAAACCTGCGGCGACTAGCCATTGAATAAATTGTTGAATATTAATAAGTAAGAAACATATATAGAACATAATTGTGCTTGGAATCACTAATGTTGGTGGTTATAAGGACAGGGTTTCTACATATCATACGATAAATAGCCCACAATTGATTCCTATAACCACCCAGAGCTGTTTGATACGATCTCATGTCATTACATCGTTACTCCAGCGCTGTTCTTATGTTAATCAAGAATCTGCATATTTTTTCAGGATCTTTGGTAAAAATTTGTAGACAACTACAGTCTGAACATCGTTGAGCTAGTCTGCTTTTATTTTCCTGTGAAGAAATAAACTATTTTGCATTTTAGATTTTGTCAAATTATCTAATGTAACAAACAGAACGTCTTTATATAAATTAGGGCAACAATTGTAGCGCCGTCCAACCGTTAAATTAACAAGTTACTGTTTATTTCAGGAGAGAAAATATTTTGCAACCTTATCCTTATCTTGATGGCCCCTTCTGAGTTGTAATCACCGGAGATAGGATGGTCCTTTCAGTGTTTAATTGTCAGAGCGTCGTCACTTGCTCGGTCTTTTCGCTTCTCCCAGCTACCCCACCCGTGTAATCACCTCCCTTTGTATTCCATTTCATTTGCATACCTCCTGGCAAAACGCTAATGTGAAAAATCAAAATAAGGATGCGATCTAAGTCAAACTCAGGTGTATAGCTCGGGGCTATGACCACCTCTTCCGACCTCATATTGAGGATAACGCCGCTTGAGAGCAACCGGGGACACGGGGAAATTATACCCGACATTTTCCATACTAATTAATTTGAAATATAATTTTGCTGGACAAGAAGGCTATGATTATTCCCGCAGAGAACCCTGCCCTATGTCTACAGCGGAACAGCTTCATCGTACGATGTCTTTAACAGGAAACAGGTCATTCACTCAAAAGCTGTTCTTCTACGACTATAATGAATCCTACCGCACCAGTTTGGCCAGCAATTACTCTTTTTTTTTCTAAATTATAGTTTGTTCACACATATTAGTGGTTTTTGGGTTATTTTTTTCATTTGTTCGCCGTTCTCAATTTTTTCTCAGAGTGTAACATCTATCAGGACAGAGCTAATAACCTGTAGAATGAAGCCAACTAAATATCCTCCGTTAAAGTTATTGCATCCGGAACAATTTTCCATATTTGAAATGCTCAATCTTTACACACCAAACACTTCTTATTATATTTGCATATAGACTGTCAAAACTATGGGTTTAGATTACAAGAAAATATTTCATTACAATATCGAAATTGGATTTGTTAAATCGAAATTGTAGTTTTAATTTTTTTACTATTTGTGTAAATTTGTACTAGAAAAAGTAATCGACTTCGGTTGGAATTCATAAAAATAACCCAGTTTTCAGTCAATTTTGCCGATTTAACTGGGTATGATGAGAGTGATTAAATGTTCAGTAATTGCATCATACATTTTGTAAATAAAAAACGATAATAATTGATAATGGTTATATTAAATATTGCATTGTAGAATATGAATAAAACATTAATGAAATCAAAATATGTTATAATTACCTCATTTAGGATTCGGACATAAAATTGATTTTACATATAACATTTATTCGGATAAATCCTGATCGCTCCGGAATATACAAGTCGGGAGCGGAGTATCCGTTTATTATACTGTAATAGCTAGCCACGGGAATCGATACCCACCCTACTCGCGGAACATCAAGTGGGTTAGGCTACTCGTTCTATGATAACTATTAACACACATTAATCAGTGATCAGCGGGTAAAGGTTTGACCACGCCCCTTCAATTGTGTTACCGCCCAGTATGACAGGAGCACAGGCGGTGTATTGTTATACTAGAATTAACCATTTTATAATTACTAGAAATGGTATTATACTGACGTGGAACATCTGGAAAGGGATTTAGAAATGTACAACATTTAATTCATTGTTAGATCGATCGGCTTACTAGAACGTTTACACTTAATTCACGTAACAGTTGTCCAATTTATAGACAATAATACAGATTTCTGGTTAAGTTGACATAACAAATCCATGTGAAGGATGTATTTTGCAGTTGTTGTCTCTCTGACCCTATACTTGATATTGATGACTGGTGTGTATTTGTAATGTTTGAAACGATGACGAAGAAGATACATATTTCCGGACAGCAGAGTGGTATGGTGTCATTTGAGTACGTGATTCACTAGCAGTGTAACCATACATCCGTTCGGATATAAAAGTTGCTATTGAAAACATTGTTTACATTTTGCTTCTTTACAATTATCACCTGCCAGCCAAAGACAAAAATGATTTTATACTTTAAAACAGAGGACACAATTAACAAGAAATAAGAAAGTCCGTTATTAAACGATGTCTCGGTAAAATTGTTATGCATGTAGAGAGACAGAAAACAGATAGAGAACAGCACAGTCATAAACTTTATAGCAAACATCATAGTTATTCAGTGAATCAGAAAGTGTCTTTTCGTGGAAATATTTATACAATTGGGTATAGTCCTCAGACGTCTTTTTGTCTAATAATTTCAACACGAATAGGGGAATAAGACTAGTTTAATTAGGACAACGTAATTTGTCAGTAATAAGTTTGGACTTTGTACAAGATTATTGCCTTTTGTTTCCTGGACCAGTCCTTAACAAGTCCAAATATCATAGACTTGATACCAACGCCGAGACAGAAATCAACTTAATAAAAAACGCAAATGTGTTGTACAAGTAGAAACCACTGACACGGATAACCGAAATATCTTAAATAAACATAACGTAACAAATATGTTATCTTAAGCAACGAATTAAAAAAAAATAAAAATAATAAACTACCGGGAAAAATAACAATAACATAACAACGTTTTCACAATCT